AGACCCACGACCCTACCTCCCACCTTCAGGAACCTGCCCGCTGCGGGCAGCTCACGAAAATCCTAGGAAGGTGCTTGGTGACTGACTTCTTTCACTTGGCACAAGGTTTTCAGGGTTCATCTTTGTGGACGGATGCATGCATTTTTTTAAATTGTCAAATGATAGTCTGCCCTCTGGATAAACTACCTTCATTCGTCACTCATGGGCTGTCCTGAGTTGTTCTCTTTGGCTGTGGCGAGCCCTGCTGCTGTGAACATCTACGGGCTAGGTTCTGTGTTCTCACTTCTCTCGGCTACACAGCCAGCAGTAAGATCTGAGGTCCAAAGGGCTGCCCCATTTCACAGTTCCATCAGCAGTGTGTGAGGGAGATGTATGGCTTAATCAGACAGCTGGAATCTACCTGTTTCTGTATGTAATTTGTCCCAAAATACTGTTTTGGTTGAGTATATGTAAAAAAAAAAAAAAAATCCGGTCTCAAGGAGGTATGTCACTGGAAAGGAGAGAATCTGACAGCGTCTTCAGATAATCATGGAAATTCCGGGATGATGCACCACAACGCTGCAAGTGTTAGTTCCTTACAGGTTGGCTTCACAGACCTCTAACCATGTCAGAGAGGCTTTACATTTACACTCTCACGCATCCAAGTCCGATCAGTTAACAGGAAGACAGAGTGGAGCACCCTGAAGTCTGAAGGCATGCGGCCATCTGGTTAACGGTGCCACACCCAGGCGGACATCTTCGTTTTCATGAATGAGTCATCGAAGACGTTATCAGAGGGAAGACGGGCCAGGGATAAACAAGAACTCTTTGTACTATTCCTGCATCTTTTCTGTATTTTAAAAATTATTTCAAAATACAAGTGAAAAGCAGAATTCAATCTATTGGCCCACTTTACTCGTTGACTGATCTCTTACCCAGCATAATCCTGAAATCTCAGGCACTGGTTAGCTCCGCAAATACGCCGGAGGTGCATCTTCCATTAGTCAACCTAACAAGCTAGAAACATTAACATCGCCTCCGATCTGCTCGGAAAAGCCACGAAGAACCGGGAAGCTGCTGAACGCACAGCGCAGAGACGTTTCCCCCAAACGGTTTCCACTTGAAGGCTCAGCTTTTGCTCATCCTGGGCAGCAAACGCTCGCTGTCTTCCTTGAAGGCGCGGCACAGGGACGGCACCGTGTGCAGGGGCGAAGCCTCTGCCTGCAGCGTCCGCACCCCAGGGAGTGCCACCTGGGGTGGCATTTCGAATCCAGCTCCCCGCGGGTGCGCCTGGGAAGGCCGCAGGCAGGTGCCCGAGGGCCTGGGCCGCTGCCACCACGTGGGAGACCTGCATGGAGTTCTAGGCACCCGGCTTCAGCCTGACCCAGTCCAGGCCTGTGCAGCCCTTTGTGGAGTGAGCCAGGGAACTGACGATTCTCTCTCTCTTTCCCTCTCTCTGTAACTTTGCTTTCAAATAAATACATATTTTTTAAGAGACAGAATCAGGTTGTTCATTTTCCAGAGTTCAGCTTCCGACCATAGAAAATCAGTTCGCAGAGCATCCAAAGCGCTTCCGGGAGCAGCGGCTGCGCCAGAGGATGGGCACCGGCGCCGGCACCCCCCCGCGACAAAGCCCGTGCCCTGTGGAGCTGGAACGCTCGTGCACACGACCACCTCCTCACACAGGGCTGCAGAGACGGGCACCGTCTTCACTGCTCTCTCCAGCACATTCTGCAGCCACACTGCTTTTCTCCCCTTCAGCAGGTCGTGGTCACAGCTGCAGCCGGCTGCTTGGGCACGTCTGGGCGAAGGCGGCACAGAATGAGCACTGTTGCCTTCAGAGCAAACAGCCACCCGGGAGAGGATGTCAGCGATGCCCCGGGGGTTTCACCCCGACAGCAGACGCATCGCAGGGCCTCGAGGCCGTGGACCGCATCCTGCGCTGACGGGCTGCTTACAGCAGGCCTGTAGTAGATGCCCGGAAGGTAACTACCAGACGACCGAGCAGGTGAACCTGACTCTTTTTCTTTCTTTTTTTTTTTTTTTTTTTTGACAGGCAGAGAGAAAGGTCTTCCTTTTGCCGTTGGTTCACCCTCCAATGGCCGCTGCGGTTGGCGCGCTGCGGTCGGCGCACCGTGCTGATCCAATGGCAGGAGCCAGGAGCCAGGTGCTTCTCCTGGTCTCCCATGGGGTGCAGGGCCCAAGCACTTGGGCCATCCTCCACTGCACTCCCGGGCCACAGCAGAGAGCTGGCCTGGAAGAGGGGCAACCGGGAGAGAATCTGGCACCCCGACCGGGACTAGAACCCGGTGTGCCAGCGCTGCAAGGCGGAGGATTAGCCTAGTGAGCCGCGGCGCCGGCTCAACTTTTTCTTTTTTTTAGAAGATAATTTACAAACTCTTTTAAGATCTTATTTATTTGAGAGGTAGAGTTACAGACAGAGAAAAAGGTCTTCTATCTGTTGGGTCACTCCCCAAATGGCTGCAGCTGGGCCAATCTGAAGTCAGGAGCTTCCTCTGGGTCTCCCAGGCGGCTGCAGGGTCCTAAGCACTTGCGCCAACTTCTACTGTACATTAGCAGGGAGCTAGATCGGAAGTGGAGCAGCCGGGACTTGAACCAGCGCCCATGTGGGATGCTGGCACTGCAGGCAGAGGCTTAGCCCACTATACCACAGCACCAGCCCCAAATGTGATTATTTTCCTAATTACTTCCAGATGCTCAGAAGTAATGAAAAAAAATCTAGGATAATTGTGTTTGGTATAATTTTAGAAAGTGTTAAATACTTCATCAGAAAATAAAAGAAATTATTCAATTGGGTAAACACGTTTAACTGTAGGGGTGGCTCACTAGTAGCGAATTTTGAAAACCACTCAACAGTGTGTGCAGGGGACAGTGACAGCCTTCCGTGCAGGGAACGGCCTGAGAACGGGGGCACCGCCTGTGGCCTAGAAATGGGGGCAGCGTCGGGAAAGGAGGGCACGGCACGGAGAGCTGCACCTCACGGCACTGCCCCACGGCGGCCGCGGACACTTCACAGATTTGGGAGCCATCATGCACACAGATGAGGAGGGAACTGGAACACGAGATGGGACATACAGGGATTCACAGGGGTCATTGAAACGCTGCACGTTTGAGGACTGAAGTCACGAAGTGCTCACCCCGGGACGAGACCAGAGCACCCAGTGTGTGATCTGCACACCGTGAGTGCTGGAGGCGGACTGTAATGAAGCCAGCGTTAAGGCAACAGACTGTTCCGTAATAAGTGAGCCGGCTCCAGCGCTGTGGCACAGCGGGTACAGCAGCTGCCTGTGGCATCGGCATCCCATGTGGGCACAGGTTCGAGACCTGGCTGCTCCAATCAGCTCTGCACTAATGTGCCTGGGAAAGCAGCAGAGGATGGCCAAGTGCTTGGGACCCTGCACCCATGTGGGAGACCTGGAGGAGGCTCCTGGCTCCAGATAGGCCCAGCCTCAGCCATTGCGGCCATTTGGGGAGTGAACTGGCAGATGGAAGAACTGTCTCTCCCTCTCTCTCTGCCTTTCAAATAAATAAAATAAATCTTAAAAAAAAAATAAGTGAGCCAGCTAATAAAATACTCTGCTTAGGAGGGAGTTATCCTACAGTTTGCTATTTTCTTTTTTTTTTTTTTAAAGATTTATTTATTTATTTGAAAGTCAGAGTTACACAGAGAGAAGAGGAGAGGGAGAGGCAGAGACAGAGAGAGAGACAGAGAGAGGTCTTCCATCCGATGGTTCACTCTCCAGATGGTCGCAAGGGCTGGAGCTGCGCCGATCCGAAGCCAGGAGCTTCTTTTGGGTCTCACACGCAGGTGCAGGGGCTCAAGGACTTGGGCCATCTTCTACTGCTTTCCCAGGCCACAGCAGAGCTGGATTGGAAGTGGAGCAGCTGGGACTAGAACTGGCGCCCATACCGGATGCTGGTGCTCAGGCCAGGGCATTAGGATCGGCGCAGCTCTGGCCGTTGCGGCCACCTGGGGAGTGAACCAGCAGATGGAAGACCTCTCTCTCTCTCTCTACGGAACTCTTTCAAATAAATAAAATAAATCTTTAAAAATAAATAAATAAATGCTCCAACCTCAGGCTGAAGAAAGTGACCACTGTTTACTGACACCAATGCATTTCAGAATCGCAATAAGGGTCAGGGAGTCTAGTAGGAAGGCGCTAACCAGTTAAGGACAGACGGGTAGTAGGGTCTGAGTTAACAGAAACCACCCACTTGCCCACTTCTGCCACTCGGTAACTGGCTGGCAACTGAACGCTTCCGTCTGAGGCTGCTTCCCCCACCTCCTTCCCTGACTCAGGAATACTCAGAGTACACGGTCGGGAAGCGTGCTGCATCGGCCAAGAGGCCGCAGCGTAAGGAACTAGGTGTGGGACTGCTCAGAGGACGACTGCCCCGGTGCTCTGCAGATTGCCAAGTCCGAAGTCCTAGGCTGTAAGCATTCTCCACACGGTGGAAAGCTCCCGAGACCGCCCACCCAGGCATCGCCCACCCAGGCATCGCCCACCCACACCGCGTCCTGCGGAGCAGCTGCAAGACGCTCCAGCACCTGCGTCCCTCGATCCTCAGCTAATCTCCATAGGCGGGGCGGGGGCAATCAGGCGTAAAGAAACGGGGTTTCCTTGGCTCTGCTTCGCTGCACCAGGCCCTGCCGCCCTGTGCGGGCAGGGACGTTTCTGTGGCCGTGCAGTGGCAGGTGAGCCCGCTCCCAGCCCTGGACACCTGGCGCCGGGCCCTGCCGCCCTGTGCGGGCAGAGATGATGCTGTGGCCGTGCAGTGGCAGGTGAGCCCGCTCCCGGCCCTGGACACCTGGCGCCGGGCCCTGCCGCCCTGTGCGGGCAGAGATGATGCTGTGGCCGTGCAGTGGCGGGTGAGCCCGCTCCCGGCCCTGGACACCTGGCGCCGGGCCCTGCCGCCCTGTGCGGGCAGGGACGTTGCTGTGGCCGTGTAGTGGCAGGTGAGCCCGCTCTCGGCCCTGGACACCAACCCGCCCCACGCACCTGCAGCTTCACAGCGATGACCACGGAGTTCAGGTCTTTGTCCATTTCTTTGAGCACCACAAGCTTCTTCAGCGTCAGGTTGAACAGCCTGGAGGGAGACAGAGGCTGTCAGACCTAAGGAACGCGGGGGCTCACGGCTCTCCAGCCTGGAGGGAGACAGAGGCTGTCAGACCTAAGGAACACGGGGGCTCACGGGTCTCCAGCCTGGAGGGAGACACAGGCTGTCAGACCTAAGGAACGCGGGGGCTCACGGCTCTCCAGCCTGGAGGGAGACACAGGCTGTCAGACCTAAGGGACGCAGGGGGCTCACAGCTCTCCAGCCTGGAGGGGAGACAGAGGCTTGTCAAACCTAAGGAAACACGGGGGCTCACGGCTCTCCAGCCTGGAGGGAGACACAGGCTGTCAGACCTAAGGGACGCGGGGGGCTCACGGCTCTCCAGCCTGGAGGGAGACAGAGGCTGTCAAACCTAAGGAACGCGGGGGGCTCACGGCTCTCCAGCCTGGAGGGAGACAGAGGCTGTCAGACCTAAGGAACACGGGGGCTCACGGCTCTCCAGCCTGGAGGGAGACAGAGGCTGTCAAACCTAAGGAACGCGGGGGCTCACGGGTCTCCAGCCTGGAGGGAGACAGAGGCTGTCAGACCTAAGGAACACGGGGGCTCACGGCTCTCCAGCCTGGAGGGAGACAGAGGCTGTCAGAACTAAAGAACACGGGGGCTCCCGGGTCTCTCGCCTGGGGGGAGACAGAGGCTGTCCAACCTAAAGGACGCGGGGGGCTCACGGGTCTCCAGCCTGGGAGGGAGACAGAAGGCTGTCAAAACTAAGGAACGCGGGGGCTCACGGGTCTTCCAGCCTGGAGGGAGACACAAGCTGTCAAAACCTAAGAAACGCGGGGGTCTCGGGTCTCC